TAAGGGGGACACAAGAATCTCCCTAGGAAGGGGAAGTAGATTTCAAGAGTGGACTGGGAGCAGGTGGGGCTGGGAATAGAAGGGATCAAGTGGGAGGGGTAAGTACTGGGAGAAACAGTTGAAATTGGGGAGGCATTTCCAAGGCAAGGTGGAAACCTAGTGTAATAGAGACTCCATGCAATCTATGAGAACAATGCTAGCAAAGACTCCTAGTAATGGAGAACCCAGAACCTGAGCCAGCCATCTTCTATAACCAGGCAAGTTCTCAAGAGGAAGGACTGAGACATCAACTCAGCCACAAAACCTGACCTACAGCTTGTCCTGACTGTGGAGTGAGTGTTCTGGGACAGGAGTCAAGCAGAATCATCATCAAAGACAACAGAGAAACTTCATCCAGCAACTGGTGGGAGCAGATGCAGAGTCCTGCAGCCAAACATTAGGCATAACTTGGGGAGTCCCATGGAGGAGGACGGGGAGGGAGGATTGGAGGAACCAGAGGGGTCAGGGACAAGAACACAGCCCACAGAATCAACTAACTGGGACTCATCTGGGCTCACAGAGATCGGGGAGTCTGTAGGGTCTGACCTAGGTGCTCTGCACATAATGTTATGTATGGCTGAGTAGCCTGGTGTTCTTGTGGGTTTTTTAACAATGGGAGCAGGGGTGGTCACTGACTCTTTTGCCTACTTATGGGGCCCTTTTCCTCCTACTGGGTTGTTTCATCCAGACTTGATGTGGTACGCCTGGTCTTACCGCAGCATATTATGCTGTGTTGGTTGATGTCTCTGGGAGGCCTGCTCTTTTCTGTGGAGAGAGAGGGAGAGTGAATCTGGAAGAGAGAGGAAGTTGGGGAGAGAATAGGGAAGGAGACGGAGGGGAAACTTCAGTCAGGATTTAATATATGAGAGAGGAATAAACAGAGAGAAAGAGAGAGAGAGAGAGAGAGAGAGAGAGAGAGAGAGAGAGAGAGAGAGAGAGAGAGAATATCCCTCACAGGTGTGCCTGGCAGCTCGGGTTTAGTTGATACCAGATATAGTCAAGTTGACAACCAAGACAAGCCACCACAAGTCCATCCACTCCTCCTTGTCAATTTGACACACAATCACATCACCTTATGTTGTGATTAATTTCCAAATGAAAACAATAACCAGGTCACAGTTCTGCCTAACATGATAGAACTGTCCCTCATCTGCCTGCAAATGCATTGCTTTAGAATAGGTGGCGATGTCCTCTGAGGAGCTCTTAATCTCCTAGTGTCTCATAACTTAGACATGATAACTACTGACATTCTCTCAAATGATGTTACATTACGTGATGAAGAGGAAAGAAAATGTAAACATTGGCTTAATGTATGTGCACATATGCACAAACATGTTTATGCTGCTTTATCGTAGCAATGGGAAGCAAATTAAGACACACCTTCCTCAATCACTTTCCACAGTATTTACTGAGACATGGTCTCTCACTTGAACGAAGAGCTCAATGGTTATACTTATCTTGCCAGCTGACTCCAGGGATTGGCCAACACTGGATTCTGTTTGTTTTGTTTTGTTTTGTTTTGAGACAGGTTATCACCATGCAGCCCAGACTGGCCTTTAATTCGAGGTCTTCCCTTCTCAGCCTCCAAAGTAGCTGGTATGGCAGGCACGCACTATTACACCTGCCAGCCAGGTTATGAGTCCTAGGATCCCACAGGAGCAATCCCTGGCTGTTGCCCTGTTTCATGTGACTTGTCCCCTTGCCAACAGAGCTCTGCACCTGGCAGAGTTCCTGCCTCCCTCATTGTGAGTGTACCACAAAGATCTTGTGAGACATGTTCAGCCAAACGGGTAATTACAGGATCTCTGGCTTGCAAGCAATTTTTTTTTTTTTTTTTTTTTGCCATGGAAGAAATTAGGCGAGTAATGACACATGACATCAGCAGATATGAAGAGGTGATATCTTAATGGAAACATCTCATTTGTGAAAACTTAGTCTTTTGCCCTATCAATTCATAGTATGTTCAGTATTTCTAAAATTTCTTTTGGGGGGGCTAGAGAGATGGCCTCCTCTAGAAGGCAAAGATCAACATTGGCTGTTGTTCCTTAAGCACTGTCCCCCTTCTGATTTGAAACAGGGTCTTGCTGAACTGGGGCTCATCAATGAGGCTAGACTAGCCAGCTGGCCAGTGAGCCACAAAAACATGCCTGCCTGTGTCTTCCTGGGACTGGGATCACAAGCGTGTACCATCATGCCTGGCATTTTTCTGTAGGTTCTGAGGATTAAGCTTGGGTTCTCGGTGTTTCCATGGCAAGCACTTTACCAACTGAGCCATCTCCCCACTCCAACACCTGCAGTGAGCCACTCTACCCTGCTCTTCTGGTATTTGAGACAATGTCTCTTTTTTGTTTGTTTGTTTGTTTGTTTTTGTTTTTCGAGACAGGGTTTCTCTGTGGCTTTGGAGCCTATATCCTGGAACTAGCTCTTGTAGACCAGGCTGGTCTCGAACTCACAGAGATCCACCTGCCTCTACCTTCCCAGTGCTGGGAATAAAGCCGTGAGCCACCAATGCCCGGCTGAGACAATGTCTCATATACCAGAGACTGACCTCACTATTCAAGGATGGCTGTGAACTCCTGATGCCCCTGCCTCCCAAGTGTTGAGATTATAAGTATGCTGTACCAGATCGTGCAGGGCTGGGGGGTGGAACACAGGTTGCATGCTAGGCAAGCATTCTACCACTGAGCTATAGTCATGGCCCAATTTTTTATCCCAATGCTTTTTGTCATTTGTCATCATGAGGTTGCTTAGCCACCTGTGGATATGAGGTCTGTTTTGATCATTCATCAAAACTGAACACTAACTCTTGACTCATGACAGGTTTGGCAGAAGAGGACAGAGGGTCGTCATCAGTGAAATACAACTCAATCCATAGCTTGGACCCTGGCTCTCTCCCCATAAGCTTCTAGTTCCTCTCTGTCAAATGAATGGGTCTAAAGAATGCTGCACAGAACTCTGGGAACCTCTACAAAGTTCCTGGTATGTGCTCTGTAAGCTGCTGTTAAGAATATTGAGCCTGAACTGGGCAGTGGTGGCACACCTTTAATCCCAGCACTCAGGAGGCAGAGTCAGGTGGAGCTCTGTGGGTTCAAGGCCAGCCTGGTCTACAGAGCGAGTTCCAGGACAGTCTCCAAAAGCTACAGAGAAACCCTGTCTCAAAAAACAAAAAAACAAAACAAAAGACTAAGGTGGAAAGAGAATGAGGTAGATAATATCTGGCTTTGACCTCTAGCCTACACGTGTGTGCACATCCACACTCAAGAGTGCAGACACACACACGCAGACACACACATGCAGACACACACACACACACACACACACACACACACACACACACACACAGTGGAGACGGGCGGGGAGGGGGAGAAGCAGTGTAACCAACCACTAAGGTTGGCACACTTGAAAAGTCCCTGGGAGGTCTTCCTGGCACCCCTTCCAGTTCCCCACTGACAGCCAGCACTACCAGCCAACCACGGGATGGCACCATTTGGGATAACACCCACAACATCTAATAACCATTATATAAGCCGCTTAAGAAACTCCCCAGCCATAAACTTGTGATTCAAACAGAGTGACTTGTTTTAACCAATTACATTGGGGTGATTTGTCATCACACAAATATATCAAGAGGCATGTCTCTCCCTGCCTGTGCATCTCACCACCTACCCTCTTCCTCACAAGTCCCTCACTTGTCTTTTTTGTCTGTCCCTCAAACTCGACAGGTGATCCCACCCCTAGAGCTTTGTATATTGGTTGTTTTCTCTCTCCATAGAAACCCCAAGGAAAAACTCCACTCCTCCCTCCTCTGTCTCCTTGTGACACACAACATTGGCTTCAGCTCAAAGGAACAGGATCAGCAAATTCTTCACTATCTCCCCATCAAGGTTAGATCACAGGCCAATGAGATGCTCAGGGAGTAGGGGCAGTGATGACCTGAATTCAATCCCTGGGGCTCACATGATGGAAGTAGAGAACTGATTTATCCAAGTTGTCCTCTGACCTTCATACTTGCATTCTGACACATAGGCACCCATACACATATAGACACACACATACACACACACACACACACACACACACACACACATACACACACTCATTGGAAGTAGAATGATAGGCAGGTACCAAGGACTAGAGAAAGGAAATGAAAGTTAATGTTTAATGGAGACAGAATACCTTCTTAGGAAGATACATACAAAATAAATTAATATATATAAATGTGTGTGTGTGTGTGTGTGTGTGTGTGTGTGTGTGTGTATGTTACAGTTGTGTAGCTTGGTGTTTTTGTGGAACACCTAACAGAGGGAGGGGGGATGTTTCTGATGCTTTTGCCTGCTTTGGGGACCCTTTTCCTCCTACTGGGTTTCGTCATCCAGCCTTAATGAGGGAGATGCCTAGTCTTTTTTGTTTGTTTTTTTTTGTTTTTCCAGACAGAGTTTCTCTGTATTACTTTGGAGCCTGTCCTGGAACTCACTCTGTAGACCAGGCTGGCCTCGAACTCACAGAGATCCGCTTGCATCTGCCTCCCAAGTACTAGGATTAAAGGCGTGTGCCACCAATACCTAGCCGAGGTGCCTAGTCTTATTGCAACTTTATATGCCATGTTTGGTTGCTATTCCTGAAAGGCCTGTCCTTTTCTGAAGGGAAATGCAGGAATGGACAGGGAGGGGACAGAGGGAGAGGCACTGGGAGGTAAGGAGGAAGGACAAACTGTGGTCAGTATGTAATATATGAGAATAAATTATTTTTTAAATCTAAAAAAAATGTATAAAATTTTAATTAAAATCACCCTTTCTTTCAGCAGTCACCACTTGACATTTTTGTCTTTGTCAACAATTTTCTCCACTAGAGTAGAAAGTCCCTGAAGTGAAGTCCTTACCTGTGTGGGTCACCTACCTCCTTGCATAATACCTAGTGTCTAGTAAGCAAGAACGCGTTTATAAAATGAATACAAACCAGAGATGGCGGAGAGTGAGGGCTGCAGCCCCAGGCTAGTATTAGGGAGGTAAGAGACTAATCTAATAGGGGCTTAAACTGGGTATTGTTTAAGGGTGGAGGATTCACACGGACAAAGGTGAGAGCCCAGTGGCTCACAGAAAGGGTGCACATTATCCTCCCAGTGAGAAGGAACAAGCACCCGACCTGACATGTAAGAAACTTCAGAACCCGGCTGGGATTTCGGGAATGCACTACCATGCCTGGTTTTGTGGTCTTGGGTTCAATACTAAGCAAGCACTCTGCCCACGAAGCCACAGCCGGGACACCGTAGCCGTTTCTAAGAACAGTCTTCTGTGGCAAAGTACATTCCCACGGTACATTCCATGCCGAGAACTTTCCTAACTTCCCGAGAAAGTACTCTGTCCCTATTAAACACTTTCATTTCCCCCTCCTTAATCCCTGAAGCCACCTTTCTACTTCCTGTGACTGTTAACTATTCCAGGGACCTCTTAGAAGCAGGCTCATGTAGCCTACGGCTGGTCTCGAACTCGTCATCCTGCCTCAGCATCCCCAGCTGCTGAGATTACAAGTGTGAGTCACCTTTTGCACAACGTCCTCGAGGCTCATCATACAGTGTTAATTTCCTCCCATTTTTCAAATAAAACATGCAATGCGCGCGCGTTCCTCGTGTTGTACTAATCGGATTCCTCAGGATCCTCTGCTGCCAGGTTCGCTGTGTCCACTGGGGACACTACGATCAAGAGAAGCAGACAGCATTCTGTCTCGTGCGTGGTCACTACTTAACCTTCCGGCCCCCACTTCCCGGAAGAGTCACCCGGCACTGCGCAAGGACGCACTGGGCGGGGACAGCCACCCGCGCCGGGCCTCGGTGCGCATGCGCGAATGTGGCCGCGGTTGCGCATGTGCGGAGGCTCCGTTCCCCTGGGTTTGAATCCAGCGATCCGGGGTTTCGCTCCCACCGGGAGTTCTGTTTATAAACACACCGCGCGACCGGCGGCGAGGGGGAA